CATTAATGGTGCATGATCACAAGAGGGCGGTCTACAATCTTAAACACTACTAGACACAACAAGACCAATTATCACTGATCAACAGCCAAAAAATATCCTAAATAAAATCAACAAAATATTACTATTTTTAATGTGCTAAAACCGGAATGAAACTTATTTTTTCAATATTAGTTCAAGTTTTAGAGATACGGTAATTATATGTGTTCCTGCTGTGACAGTGTTAATATACTGTAATTCACAAGAATGCAGGTGCTACATTTTTATATTCGGCAAGGAAAGATGATGTAATCGGCATGATTGTGTTACCTTATACATACGTGTACATTAAATTGTTTTATATTAGCCATTTTTTCCTCAGTTGGCTGACAGCGTTCATGCAAGATGTCTCGAAAGTGTGTAAACAATCCAGATCAGTTTTGTTACGTGTGTGGTGATGTGACTTTTGCGTCTCAGAGACGGTCTATTACTCCACTAATAACAAAGGCATATCAGCTTTATTTCGGTTGTAAACTAGGTGATCAAGACAAACAGTGGGCACCCCACATCTGCTGCAATACATGTGCTTCAGGTCTGAGGAGCTGGTTAAATGGCAAAAAACGGTCTATGCGCTTTGCTGTCCCAATGGTTTGGAGAGAGCCTACAAATCATATTAATGATTGTTACTTTTGCATGGTACCTTATATTGGACAAGCCACAGGTATGTCCAAGAAAAAAAAATCGGTTATTAACTACCCAAACATACCATCTGCGATGAGACCTGTGCCTCACAGTGACGAATATCCTATTCCAAAACCCCCAGAATCCTACACTTGCGAATCAGAAAACGAATCAGATCATCGCGATCGAGTGATTCGTCAGGAAGAAGATATGCCATCAACGTCAAGAGATCCTGATTTTATACCGAGCACGTCATGCCACCAACCGCACAAAATAACACAGTCAGAATTAAATGATCTTGTAAGAGATTTAGAATTTCCAAAATGTAAGGCAGAGTTACTTGGATCAAGACTGCAGCAGTGGAACTTGTTAGAAGACGATGTTTCGGTATGTGTTTTTCGTAAACGCCACAAAGACTTAGAACCATTTTTCAATATGGAGAATAACTTTGTTTTCTGCAGTAACATTAACGGCTTACTGGCGGCTTTAAATATAAACTATAACCCAGAAGAATGGAGATTGTTTATAGACAGTTCAACATTGAGTTTAAAGGCAGTGTTATTGCATATTGGAAATATTTTACCATCTCTTCCTGTAGGGTATGCAGTTCACATGAAAGAATCATATGACAATATGAAGTACCTATTGACATGCATAAAATACGATGAGCACCAATGGCATATTTGTGGCGATTTGAAAGTTGTTGCACTTTTACTTGGGCTGCAGCTAGGCTACACAAAGTTTTGCTGTTTTTTGTGTGAATGGGACAGTCGGGCAAAGGCACTTCATTACAGCAGACAAAACTGGCCTGTTCGTCAATTCCTAGAGCCAGGTCAAAAAAAATGTACAGCATATGCCATTAGTAGATTCGAAAAATAATTTTTTACCACCACTGCATATCAAGTTGGGCCTAATGAAAAACTTTGTCAAGGTATTAGATAGAGATGGGTCAGCTTTTCAATACCTGCGTCAGAAATTTCGTAGACTAAGTGAGGCAAAGGTTAAAGAAGGTATTTTTGTTGGGCCACAGATTCGAAATATTTTGAAAGATACACAGTTTGAAAACACTTTAACAGGTATTGAAAAAACTGCTTGGAATGATTTCCGTCTGGTGGTCACTAATTTCTTGGGAAATAGAAAAGTTGACAACTATAAAACCCTTGTCAAAAATATGCTGTCATCGTATCAAAAGATGGGCTGTAATATGTCTCTTAAGATACATTTCCTACACTCACACCTGGACTTTTATCCTAAAAAATTGCGGAGCCGTAAGTGATGAGCACGGCGAACGTTTTCATCAGGATATTTCAACAATGCAAAAAAAGGTACCAGGGAAAGTGGAATCCTTCCATGCTTGCAGACTACTGTTGGACTCTTGGTAGAGATGCTCCAGAAACGATCCATAAAAGAACAGCAAAAAGACAGCGCATATAGTGATTCTTATAAGTATATGAATCTTGTTACTTTTTTTAATATATCCTTAAAAATAAAAAGTTTTTTTTCTAAACCGCAACTATTTTTTTTATTTCATTGTCATTTTTGGATTCAGCGCCCCAAAATTAACAAAGAAGTGCACTTTTCCCACAAGATACAATTAAAAAACTAAAATTTGTTGTCCAGTGATTACTGTACTACATTTCTCACTTTATTCGCAAAAATCCTAAAACTATCACTGAAAAAGTCAATTTCTGCACTTCTACACTACACTATTTGCTTTCATACACATTCGAGTTATAGGAGAATCCACACCATAATTTGTCCTATGATATGGAATATGAAATAATGACTTACTTCTTGACTCCCTTGACGGTATATGAAAACCAACCAGAGCAAGGAGATCAGGTGCATTAATTTGATTATTAATGATCTTAAAAAGTGTGCAAATATCAAACATATCTCGTCTGTTTACAAGTGGCGTTAAGTTCAGTAGAGTCATTAGGTCCTGACAATTAATGTCATCATAAGGAATGCCAAGCTTTAGCCCTATTCTCTTAAGAAATTTTATTTGGATTTTTTCAATACTATCTCTGTGCACAGCATAATAATGATGCCAAACAGAGCTGGCATATTCAAATAATGATCTAACTAAACCACAGTAGATATCTCTCACAATAAAAACATTATTGACGTCCCTAAGACTCCTAAAAACAAGTCTCAAAAGACGCATAGCTCTTGATGTTATTTTCTCAATGTGAGACACAAATGTTAACTCACAATCAAGCCACACACCCAAATCCCTTACTAGGTTTGTTCTCTGTAAAATTGCATTGTTTAGTGTGTACTCAAAAGCTATCGAATTTTTAATTTTACAGAAGGTTATAACTTTACACTTATCAGTATTTAGCATTAAGTTATTTACATTGCACCAATGAGAAAACCTATTTAAATCTTCCTGCAAAGCGAGGCAATCACTCGTATTTCTAATAATCTTAAAAAAATTTAAATCGTCCGCAAAGCCAAGAAAAATACAATTAACAAAAATATCCTTAATATCATTCACAAAAATATTGAATAGAAGCGTAGACAAATGGCCTCCCTGGGCAACACCCGATGTAACACTAATTTCTGAGGATATATTTTGTTTGATCTTAACCACTTGGTATCTATCAGTTGCATTACTCTCAAGCCATTTAAGTAGAATGCCATGTATGCCAATTGACCTCAGCTTGCTTACCAAGATACCATGATCAACTCTGTCGAACGCCTTTGAGAAATCAGTGTATACAGCATCAATTTGATATTTATTCTCAAAGGCATTCAACAGAAGGTGCTCATAGGTTAGGAGATTTGAGACAGTTGATTTTCCCTTAATAAAGCCATGCTGCTCCTTAATTATAATATTCCTAACACATGGAGATATTTTGTCATAAATTATGGACTCAAAAACCTTAGCAATAACTGAGATCTTAGAAATAGCTCTATAATTTTTTGTATTTGACTTATCCCCTTCCTTAAAAACCGGTGTTACATATGACCTCTTCCAGACAGTGGGGAAAATACCCGTGACAAGTGACAAGTAAAAAATTTTACATAAAACATCAGATAAAACACATTTACAATTTTGTAATAAAATTGCCGGAATTCCATCAGGACCAACTCCTAAGTTAATACTCAAGGACTCAATTTTATTAAAAACTTCTATAGAAGATACACTTAAACTACTTAAATTAGTACATTTGTCAGACTTGCAATTTTGATTAATACAGGAGCCCTGCTTTTCTGAATATACAGAAGAGAAATGGTGTTTAAACATCTCTGTGATTATTTGTGGATCATCTGTTTCAAAATCGTTAAGACACATGGAGTTTGGATATTCAAGATCCTCCTTTTTGGAATTGACAAATTTCCAAAAGGATTTTTTATCATGTAGTTGGCCTTCAAGTGTTTGAATAAATTGTTGATATGAACTTTTGGTTAAAATGCTGCATTGTGATCTTAATTTTGAAAACTTTATATAGTTTTCTTCTGTTTTTAAGTTTTTAAACATTTTGTGTGCCTTTTTCTTTTGAATTATTGGATTATTTAATCCATGATTCATCCATTTTGGAAATTTAGGTGTTTTACATCTGGAAACTGGTGTGAGAAACTGTAGGTGATACGGAGCCGCTTAAATAGGAGCAAGGCTGCGTACTTACGTAACTAAGAAAGTTTCTAAATTAAAATAACTTACAAATTTGTCCAAATCGGCTTAATTTTTCTCTGGCTTTGTATGTAGTGGATTTCAAAATAAATTGCTCATTAACGTCGCCATTTTTTCTCCTCTACAAGATGGCATAATTAGAATTTCAATATGATATTTCGTCACTAAATTGTCCTCCAGCGTCAGCTTTATTTTTCTCATGGACGCCATATTGAGTTTATGCATAGACGAATAGAGTTTTTTATTTTGATTCCAAAAATGTATGATTTATTATACATTGACGTTGCCAAACCTCAGTTATTGCGAAAAAAACAGAATTTTCTGGGAAGGCCTTGAAATTATCAGATAGTCCTTTGTTTTGCAGGTTGTCCGTTATTTTGCAGGCAACCCCTGACTCTACCCTGTACATTGCTTACTGCTCGGTTTATTTCACTTCTTCTGACTCCGTTACTATGTTCATTTTGAAGTTTGGCGAGAGCCAAATTAACAAGATATCAAATGGATCACAATATATTGATTAAAAAGTTTATAATGCAAACTAACATTAATTTTTCATGTAGATTCACACCCTTAAATGTTCGCATATCATTAAGGAACACCCTGTATAATTTGCCTGAGAGTAGCTTCTGAATTACCATTTCTGTGGTTCTATTCTTTTTGCCACTGAGCATATTGACTAACCAGATTTTCTTTTTCTGTCTAGACGGCAATAAGCACTACACGATAAGAGGATGTCAACTGGCAGAGCAAAGCCACCTAGATATCTGCAAGAAACTGACAGAAAAGAACGATGAAGTGGGGGCGATGGTGAAGACAGAAGTGTGCACTAAGTGCTTCACAGATGCCTGTAATTCTTCGAAGAGTTTTAGATTTAGCTTCAGCATATGTTGCTTGAGCCTAATAAGCTTTGTTTCTAGATACTATTTTTAAGTTTTTTTAGTTAACAGTGGAGTTACATTGGGCTTTTCCGAAATCCCTGTTAAACATTGGTAGACATGTGGTCTAAAATTCGAATAAAAAGAACAAAAAATGCAGAACTGTTGTATGTTGGAAAAATGGACGTTCAGCGGCTGGCTGAAGTCCAGATCATATTTGATCTCAAACGAAAAGGTTAGTTATGTAATTTCACTGCAATCGGAAATGCTTTCTTAAAACATACTCAAGTACCCAGATGTGTACCAGAGATAACGTATACCTGGTAGTCACGATAACAAGTTGATGTACTCGAGAATGAAATATTCAAATAGCTCGCTTCATATTCAGTGACATTGCTAATACATCAGATTAAAAAATTATACAATTCTGATTCATTTGAAGGTTACAGGGGGAAAAGATGAATGTCACACATGTCATGTTTTGTAGCGACTATGACACTCCGTAGTTATACCCAATTGAAAACCTGCCATGAGGGAAAAAAGATGAATGTCCAGCCGTTGTATGAAAAAAATATAAACGTTCTCTGATAGTCACCGAAGCTAGAAGCTGTTATAGCAACTTACCATATACCAATTTGCGGCGAAAGGAATAAACGTAATCATGTTAAAGCAGTTACCATTAATTTTGTTTTGTTTGCTCTATATTCTTTTGAATAAAGATTATTTTGGTTCATTGTTTTTTTCTTGTTTAAAAATACTAAGAAATAATGCTGTTGAAGCTTTTTCTCATGTGCTAGGCGCTGTGCAACAAACTTCCTGTTAAGGTTGTTCTCATATTAGAACAGATCGTAAAACCTAAAATAGGCATTTTGCTGGTTAATCAACCCGACAGGGTGTCGCATATGACGGAACCTCAATATCGCAACAAAAAAGTTGAATTCAGGCATGCACGCTTACACATAAAAAATGTTTAAAATCATAAGGAGAATCTTAAAATACAAAAATAAAAAGGAGTTTCCATTAAAAAAATGTTTGGTCTGTTTTCACTTTTAATCTACCCCGTATATCAAACAAGAAATTCATTTATAATTTAATTTTTTTTTTCAATTCGTCATCATCTGTACAACGAGGTGTCTTAAAACTTTTAAATTCGCTTTTCTGGAAACTTACTTTTTGTGACATTAATCTCCTTTACCCCTGTACCCTACATTTATTTGTAATGGAAATTAAGAAAAAACGCATTGCTACCTTCTTTTTTCTAATAAACTTAAAATTGACATTTAGTCTCATTTCAAAAATGTCTTCTCCCTTTTGTTTTCCATTTAAATTATAATTTAATCAACTCAAAAAATGTATCAAATCAAAAACTCCATATTTGCACCAGGCTCACACTTTTAGAGTATCTAATGCAATCTGATGATATTGTAGAAGTATGTTGAAAGCTTAATGATTAAACCCTTTTCTAGCAATGACACTGATTATCCTATATGTAACAAATATATCATTATTTATTGTATTACGAATACTACGAAAAATACTCGTAGTGTCCAATCACAACAAATATATTCAATTGAAATAGATTGCTGTTTTGACTGCATGGATTTCTGTATGCCTCGTTTTCCAATGATGAGTAGATTTTAAGTAGACAAATGAATTAATTTCTAATTTCGCCATCATAAGATTACTTAAAATAGTTTCAAAAAACTTATTTCTTGACCCTTATTATTTTGCATAGCAAATGTTATTCAGCATTTAGAACATAATAATATTATAGTGAATGTAATTAAACTGTTATACATAAAAAATTATACACATATAATGTTTATTATATACATACATGTACTGTGAATAAATATGGCTGTTTTACAATTTTTAAAAATAGGCTTCTGTCTCCCTACCTACCTAGCCTGTAAACACAAACATGACAGATAAAATGAAGATAAGTATACGTCTAGACATTGACCTAGGTTTTTTTTAAAGCCCAAAAGCTCAGAACAGTAGAGAATAAGGATAGCATGACCTTGACTTTCTAATGACCTTGAATCCCCAAGAATCTTCGAATCGAGGTCAATGACGAAAGGGCGATCATCATTTTGAGTGTAAAACAAGTCAACATATCCGCTTGTTCGTCCTCGAGATAAAATCCATCAACACTTGGGAAAATGTGAAAATTAAAGCAGAGCGGGATCTAAGAACTATTTTTGATTATTTTGCTCATAAACTTTTAACCGTGAGCTATGAGAAAACGTTCTTTATGCCTTTTTCTGATACAGTACGTTGTCTACCTCAGTATGAATAACTTTTAATAAATCAAAAAATATCTGTGAAAACCAATAAATACTTAGGTGTCACCATCGATCGGCACTACTGATGGGATGTTCATATAGCTAACATTACAAACACCTTACGACAACTCTTATATCGCTTTAAATACTTAAAACATCTCATAGACTACATGCACCTGAAAATGTTGTATTATTCATCAGTTGAATCACGTCTACGATAGGCTATTTTGAGTTGGGGAAGTGCCGCATATTGTCATTTGCAGCCTCTGGATATACTGCAAATAAGAATATTGAAAGTAATATCTGGCAAAAAATGGAGTGTTTGACCTAAGGCAACTGCTTCTGCATGAATTAATTCAATTCATATACAAACACAAAAACAAATTCAATAAAACTAGCTATGCTTATAGTAGTAGATATAAAGAAAATGAAAACTTAAAAATACAAACTTTTCAAAGAAATGTAAGCTTGCGATGCCACACCTACCTATCATGTAAAATTTATAATTGTTCGCCATACATGTACCGTATGTATGTTGATAAAATAAACTCATTGTCTTTGATAAAATCTTTATTTAAAAAATATATTTTTTTAATTGGTAGACAAGAGACACGAAATCTAGTAGAAATTATTTACTAGAAATCGTACTACGCTAGTTTTACTCCTCCTCACCCACCATATTTCTGTAGTTAGTGGAATAAACTTTATTATACAGGGTGGCCAAACACGTGACGTCATAAAAAAAAATTAGATTCCCCACATCGAGAGGAACCCAAATCACCCCCATATATATGGTCCGATTTTGTTTAGTTTAGGAGTTATGATTTTTTTTCGGATTTTTCGAGAATTTTTGAGTTCTGTGTTTATTTTTACCATAACTTCGTTAATAATTGTGATAAATGCCTGCTTTTTTCACGATTATGTAGCTAAGACCTAAGGCTTAACTATCATATAATCATTCAAGTCATGTAACTAATACTACTTTTTAATTTTTTTCAAAATCTTCGAACATAACAAAAAAGTAAAAAAGTGCAACAACTTTGAACGTTTATAAAAAATTGAAAAAACATGTTCTTACTATTCGTAAGTATCTTAAAAACTTCCTTACGGTATCAGCTATTTACCGTAAAAATTTCATCAACCTAGCTTTACTACATGCTACCGTAATTGTGGCTCAAATAGAACCGAACCCAAAATTGGATAACCCTCTGCTCAATAGAAATTGTTATTTTCGGAAAAAAAATTTGCAAAAACCACAAAAACACGTTTGATTTTTACTGAACAGCAGATTATTATTCATTTATGTTATTTACAAGAGGTTTTCAAAATGTCTGCCTCTAACAGAAATGCACAGTGTACACCTACGTATGAAATTTTGTTTTAAATCTCTAAATGCTTGTGTGTTGTTTTTCAACACATGTGTCGCTTCTTGAATTTTGTTCCTCAATGAATTTTCATTTGCACATTCTTGGGCGAATGTTATGTTTTTAAAATATCCCCAAACAAAAAAATCAATGGGGTTGAGGTCAGGGGAGCGTGGAGGCCATCGTATCGGTCCGTTTCGTCCGATCCATCTGTCTGGGAACCTTTCGTTTAAGTAGTTTCGCACGATCGTTGCGTTGTGGCATGGTGCACCATCATTCCAGGACGAGGAAGCAATGAAGGATATCCTACAGCTGATCCGGATCGCAGAGAAGTAGTACTTGAAGAAATTAGCCGGAATCCCTCAACGAGTACGAGATCTATGGCACAAAACCTTAGAATACCACGAACATCGATACAAAATATTCTTCATGAAGAAGGTTATCATGCCTATCATGTTCAAAGAGTTCAAGCGTTGATGCCTTTAGATTACCAGTTAAGATTGGATTTCTGCGAGACAATGCTGCGAAGACAACGAGAGGATCCCGATTTTTTTGATAAAATTTTATGGACTGACGAGTCACGTTTTGAAAGAACAGGGATATTCAATATCCATAATTTACATACTTGGGCTGTTGAAAACCCCCACCAGTCAAGGCCGTCGACATTTCAACACCGTTTTAGTGTGAACATGTGGTCAGGAATATTCAATATGGAATTTATCGGTCCATTTGAACTGCCGTCAAGGTTGGATTCGGTAGCCTACAAAAGCTTCCTTGAAAATAGCCTACCATTATTGCTGGAAGATTCAAGCCTGGAAGCCAGACGGAACATGGTGTTCCAGAATGATGGTGCACCATGCCACAACGCAACGACCGTGCGAAACTACTTAAACGAAAGGTTCCCAGACAGATGGATCGGACGAAACGGACCTATACGATGGCCTCCACGCTCCCCTGACCTCAACCCCATTGATTTTTTTGTTTGGGGATATTTTAAAGACATAACATTCGCCCAAGAATGTGCAAATGAAAATTCATTGAGGAACAAAATTCAAGAAGCGACACATGTGTTGAAAAACAACACACAAGCATTTAGAGATTTAAAACAAAATTTCATACGTAGGTGTACACTGTGCATTTCTGTTAGAGGCAGACATTTTGAAAACCTCTTGTAAATAACATAAAGGAATAATAATCTGCTGTTCAGTAAAAATCAAACGTGTTTTTGTGGTTTTTGCAAATTTTTTTTTCGAAAATAACAATTTCTATTGAGCAGAGGGTTATCCAATTTTGGGTTCGGTTCTATTTGAGCCACAATTACGGTAGCATGTAGTAAAGCTAGGTTGATGAAATTTTTACGGTAAATAGCTGATACCGTACGGAAGTTTTTAAGATACTTACGAATAGTAAGAACATGTTTTTTAAATTTTTTATAAACGTTCAAAGTTGTTGCACTTTTTTACTTTTTTGTTATGTTCGAAGATTTTGAAAAAAATTAAAAAGTAGTATTAGTTACATGACTTGAATGATTATATGATAGTTAAGCCTTAGGTCTTAGCTACATAATCGTGAAAAAAGCAGGCATTTATCACAATTATTAACGAAGTTATGGTAAAAATAAACACAGAACTCAAAAATTCTCGAAAAATCCGAAAAAAAATCATAACTCCTAAACTAAACAAAATCGGACCATATATATGGGGATGATTTGGGTTCCTCTCGATGTGGAGAATCTAATTTTTTTTTATGACGTCACGTGTTTGGCCACCCTGTATACTAAGTGACATATAAATCCGAACACCCAGTTTAAATGGTTTTATTTTAATAAAAGTTGGTGAATGTATTTATCTTACTGTGAATAATAAGCGAAAAATTGTTCAGCCTTATCAGTTGGACATTCCGGTTTTTATACTGCTTTTTTTTTAATTCACTAACGCTCTAAAAATGAATATTTCAGCCGCAGTAAAGAATCAACGTTGGCGGATTTTGGTTCTTGATATCCTTTACGATCGGTTACGATGCCTAGAGTACGGAGACCTGTACGATTTCGTCAACTTAGTGAGTTTAATAGGGGCCGTATAGTGGGACTTCGGGAAGCTGGACGTTCTTTTCGGGCAATTGCAGTTAGAGTGCAAAGGAGTGTAGACACTGTGGTTAGGTGTTGTCAGGCATGGCTTCGAGAAGGCCGTACGCAAATGGAACGCAGGAATGGAACAGTATTGTCTTTAGTGACGAGTCTCGATTTTGTTTAGGCATGCACGATGGTCGTGCCAGGGTTAGAAGGCGACGTGGTGAAAGGAGGAATCCACAGTTTTTTGTTGAAAGACATGTTCATCACACTGTTGGAGTTACGGTTTGGGGTGCTATAGCTTATGGTTCCAGGTTACCTTTAATCTTCCCCAATTGAGCACGTGTGGGATATGATGGGTAGGAGATTGCTCAATTTGCAACGTCCTCCTCAGACTCTAGAAGCACTTCGAGAGGAGTTGGTGGTTGCCTGGAATGAGATACCATAGGAGGACATTGACCACCTGATCAAAAGCATGCCTAGGCGCGTTGGAGAATGCGTAGCACATCAGGGTGCATCCACACATTATTAAAGGTCAAAGGGCGTTAAAGCAGTGCAATCATTTTGAAATTTTTATCATTTACTTATTATGCTTCATTAAGTACTTATACATTTAAACTGGGTTTTCGGATTTATATGTCGCTTAGTATATAAGTGCTACTCCTCCTTACCTTCCATACTTACAATGCTCTAAGCAAAATTTGTAATCAAAATTATATAAAAAAAAATTGCACGTGCACAACCGACTATTTTGGTTTCAATGGGCTTTACAAGACAATTTGAAAAAATTTCTGTGACTTATAAAACATGTTAACTTAAGATTATATTATTCTGATAGCTTCACGAAAATAACTTCCAACATGAAAACCTTCGCAGATCTACGGTTTTCATGTTGCTGTGTGCAGATCTTAAAATTTTGTTTGCGGTTCTTTGACTCACTTCTTTTGGTTTCATGCAAATTGTCCTATGTTCTAGCATTTTCTGAAACAATTCGAGCCTTTGATATGATCCCTATGCCAAGTTATCGTCCCATCTTTTTACTTCCTATACCAAAACTGGCGAGGAAGTATTGAATCGCGAAAAATTTCGAAATTGAGATTTTTTTTTAATGTTATATGACATGCACATCACGAAAAATGACG